GTCTGTCTCTGCCTGAATATCAATATCCCAGGAGGTGGAGGAAAAATGAGAGGGAGAGAGAGAGGTTGATTTGTGAATCAGCTGCTCTTCGCTTGCAGCTGAGTCTCAGCTGCTATAGGCTGTATTAGCCTCAGATCACAACAGTCCATCCCACTCTCTCTCTTTCTGACTCCCTCCTTCCCTCTCATCTGTCCACCCCCTCCCTCCATCCCATTTCTCCACCTCTCTACCTTCCTTTTGCACTGACTCTCTCCCTGTCACTCCTCCCTGCACTACCACCTCCCCCTTCCTCCTCTGACTCTGAGAATATTCTGCAGTATCACTGTTCAGCGGAGGTGTGTGTGCTACAAATGGAGCAAAAAAAATAAATAAATAAAAGAAAGGTGCGTACATGTTTCTGTATCTGTGCACATGTGGATGTGTTTGTTTGATTGTGCTTTTGAATATGTGCATGTGTGGCTGTATGAGTGTGTATACAGAGAAAATAAAACCAGAAAAGGTTAATAACAAAACTTATTTGTGTGTAGATATACAGCACAGTATGTGTGCCTGAGCTGACATCTTTGTGCACATATTAGACTGATACCTGTCCAGTCCTGAGAACTGTATATGTGTCTGCTAGAGTGTGTGTATATGTGATATTCTTAGTGCTAAAGGAACTACAGGTCTCCACAGAGGAACAGTTAAAGCAGGCCAGCTATTCATCCACAACCTGCTGGGCGGCACCACTATACACAAAGCATTTTGCTAATACAGGCACTGGACACTGCCACACTGCTGCGCTGTGGCACCTGCCCAAAAAAAAAGTCTGCAAAAGGTTTGTAAATATTTGAGAAATTGAGAGGTTGTTATGGACACCAGAGAAGTTACAAGAGAACTCGATATATATTTCAAAGCCAAAGCTTACTGGGAATGAATTAGTTCCATTGGTCAGTATACAGTATAGTATTTAAAAAAACACCAGCATAACAGTAATCCAGATATCGCTGACACAAGGGTCAGACATCATCATTATGCAGACATGAGGGATTTTATACAGTGGAAATGTGTAGCTGCATTTTTTTGGTTTGTTTGTTTTTATGTGAAACTGTTTGTGATGTGCCTCTCGCCCGCAGCTAACTGGGATTGGCTCCTGCCCCCCGTGACCCCGTTTGGGACTAAGCGGTTTAGAAAATGGATGGATGGATGGATGTTTGTGATGTCTCAATGGACCTTCCTGGCTAAATAAATGATAAATAAATAAAATGCCTAATTGATTTAGATATGAGGAAGAAAAGTCTGTGTAATTACACAGAGCTGTCTCTTACAATAATTTACAAAAATTCCACATCCACAAAGGCAATTTGTCCATCCATCCATCCATTTTCCTCCGCTTATCCGGGACCGGGTCGCGGGGGCAGCAGTCTAAGCAAAGATGCCCAGACTTCCCTCTCTCCAGACACTTCCTCCAGGTCCTCCAGGGGAATGCCGGGGTGTTCCCAGGCCAGCCGAGAGACATAGTCCCTCCAGCGTGTCCTGGGTCTTCCCCGGGGGCTCCTCCCGGTGGGACATGCCCGGAACACCTCCCTAGGATGGCGCCCAGGAGGCATCCGAAATAGATGCCCGAGTTTGTAAAGTTTTCAAATAATTCATAAATTGACTTGCTTGTAATTTTAGATATTTGACCTTGTGACCAAAATAGCTGAGTGTGAATAGTTTAAATCTTTGCATGCTAAAGACTGCTGGAATATATTAAAAACAATTATATATACAGTGGGTACGGAAAGTATTCAGACCCCCTTAAATTTTTCACTCTTTGTTATATTGCAGCCATATGCTAAAATCATTTAAGTTCATTTTTTTCCTCATTAATGTACACACAGCACCCCATATTGACAGAAAAACACAGAATTTTTGACATTTTTGCAGATTTATTAAAAAAGAAAAACTGAAATATCACATGGTCATAAGTATTCAGATGTGTGTGTGTATATATAATTGTTTTTGCTTACAAATGCCCCAAGATGGTGGTCTAAAAACTTACCATTGAGGAAAAGTGGGGCTGCTGGTTTGACCCTCATCTGGGTGTTGACCAGGTGTGGTCGGCCTTTCTTCCTGGAGCTGTGCTGGCGAGCCACCACCTTGGCTATATGAGCTGTCTCTTTAGTACCTGAGGCATAACAGACCATCTGAAAAGAGAGAGAGCAGTGTGCATATAGATAATATTGTCAGTAAGAAACTCATTGAAAGGTTGTGAAAGTTTTTAACTGCACCAGAGCTTTGGGGTCATCAACCTAGAGAAAAACATCATCTACGCTGACTCTGTGCAGAGGCCATGGAAGTCTAGCTTAACTAGTTAACTATAGCTATGATCACTTTATTAACATTGTGTCTATGTGGACACAGCTTTCAAATATGACATGTGCAAACTCATTCAAATCTCATTCAAATTATGCACATGATATTCTGGATACACTGTTGTATGGGGTACTCCAGCTTTCGCCAGCAAGGAAAACTTCATTATAGGAGCCCTTAAACTAATAACCTAATGATAAACAACCTTGTGTCATCAGTCTCTGAACTAAACTTGACTTCATTTCTTTTCAATTACACCACTGAAACAGAAAATGTTTAGTTTGTCAAAGTTTGTCTGGTAATGATAAATAAATATTTAATTATGGCCAAATATATGAATGCCTCCATCTTTCATAACAACATCCTGCCCTAGCCGCGCACACACACACACACACACACCTCTCCAGAGTGACCCCGCTCCATGTGGACTACAGCGGGCATGGTAGCTAGCAATGCATCCAGGTGGCTGTATCCCATCTGTTTATATGGTATCTGCTCCCCGGCTAGCTCCTTGTACTCTGACTGCAGACGTGACAGTGACACTCCACCCTTATTGGCCTGAAGAATGGCCCGCAGCATCTTCTTCACCTGCTCCACTTCAGCCATCTGATAAAGAAGCAATTCCACAAATAAGCAAGAACAAAAGCAAAATAAAAGTGCTACAGAAACAGGGGATTTGGTTAACTATGAATAATTAACAAAATCAAGCAATGAATAAGAATTGAAATATTGAGTAAATCAAAAACTGACTCAACTGATACACTGACAAGCAAGTGCAGTTAGTTTACAGAATATTTATTAGCTCCACAAAAAAGCATGTAAATAAAAGAGAAACATTAAATTAAACTAAAATACCAAGACTCTAATACAATCAACCAACTGAACGTTATGATAAGCTGACTTTGATAAAAGCATTTTGTCTGAGAGTAACTGCTGCTGCTGCTCATGCAAAGCCATTCACATTTACTTTCAGTTTTGATTCTGGCTGCAGTCAAAATGCTCTGTCAGATAAAATAGACCCTGGCTGCCTGGAGACACACCCTCAACAAACAGCTTTAACTTTAGGCTAAGAGGTTTGTTCAGTGCTACACACCTGCTGTAGTTTTTCCAAAGGTATAATCACCCTTCAAAACGTTAAGAAATTGCTGGAGGCATTTCATCAACTTTATTTTTGGAAATCCAGCCTTTTGTAATGGAGTTTTTTCTTCTTTCCAGACCTTTCTCTATGAATAGATTCATTTAGAGATAAACATGTGGATTATTCTGTACTGAGCCTGGGTGGATGGTAACAGGATAGCCGAAAACATAAAGAAAGTTCCAATAGAAACAAGTTAAGTAAACCTGTCTACTATCCTACTGGTTATGAGGAGAAAAGTTGAGGCCACTTGTTGATGTGGCCACATTCTGCAGCGCACACATGACAGTGAAACTATGAATGACGTAACGACTGACACTTCTACACCCTTCATCGGGACCACACTATTTGGATTACCTTCTAATGTCTTTCTTCGTTTCTTAAATGTAATTATGCGGTCCTGGCAGATAAAATGACACCATCAGAATGTTCCGGACCCACTTTGGCGACGAAACTGCACGTAACGCCGAGTTAAACCCTTCTGCCACCTTCGTGACACCGGTTCGTCAAGCCAGCTAATGCACGGCATCAAAAGACCGAAGACACATAAACACTGACTTCATAATAAAACAAAAGAGGCTCGCTGAATACCGTTTATTCGCCATGGCAGACACGCGTTATGTTTTGTAAAAGTCACCACCGGAAGTACCATTCTGTGTTTTAGCTAGCTTGAAAGCGGTCGACCCATCTCGAGTTGGGAGTCTAGGAAAACACGAAACAAACACCCGGTAAAAGTTTGCCTGGAGCGAGTGTTTCAGTCCATGAAGGTCTGGATAAAAGCTTCGAAAACATTCTACCTTGCTCTAAGCAGGCGAAGTGGTTAAGTCAGAACCTGGTCCAGTCGCTGTCACTGTTGTCATCACCATAGGACTGAACCACGGCCGGAGATCTGTCCCCGAGTCTCTGCCACCCGCTCCAAGCACAGCCTCTCCTCCGCCACCCCATTGGTCGGCTGGGCGATGGCCTGTGAATAATAACACATCAATATGCAGCCAGGGACCGCAACACAACATAGAGGACACATTTCGAAACTTTATTAATCTGCATCTTTATTGAAAAATACTGAAAATAATAAACAACCAAACAGATACTTAAAATAAGAATTATCAAAGTAAAGATTACTTCTTTTTTTTTGCTTTCCTTTTGTTTACTTATTTTTACATATGCTAAGTTTGGCCACGAACCATTAACTTATACCATGTAAGTTTAACTCTTTCATTTAACAGTCCAGCAAGTCAGTTAAGATTGGTTTTGATAACATTATCTTATTGTGTTACTTTGACCCATTCCTCTCATCGAGCAACACTTTAGTAAATCTAATCCAATAATCCTTACCCACATTTCAGTTATAATTTCAGTAAACAACAACCGATGAAATCCTTAAGGCCTATCAAGTCAGGAACGCCAAGACTATCAAAACCCCAATTAGTGGAAATATGCTATGATAAAATACAATCGCGCTCGACTCTTTTTGAGGGTTAAGCCAGTTCAGCCACTAGGAGGCGCTAATGTTCTTCTTATATTGGCTGCCAGACAACCGGAAGTGACCTGTCAAAAGCGGAACAGACTACCCGGATTTATACAGCAGCCAAAAACCACAATTGAGGATTAGTGTTTGTCTGTAGGAACACCTCGAAGAGAAACATTTAAATACGTAACTCTCTGTCCAGGTAAGCGAAACTTAGAATGCATCAAATCTGTTCTAGCCTTTTAACTACAACACTACAGATAGCTAGTTAACGTAGTATGCCAAGTTGGCCAGTTGTAACGTTGGCTAGCTAACGTTGTAAAGATAATCGGACTAGCTGTTAACTCAGTTCAGAGGTATAACTAAATCTAGATGGCAAAGATAAGTACAAATTGATTTATTTTAATTTTGCGCATGGCTGTCAATATTACTGACTGTAGTTCAAGCAAACAACTCAGCAACGTTAAAGCAGAATAGCTTGGTTGTGATTCATGACACTTCTCCCTCTGGCAAATTGTCCATTCTCCTCTGTTGCATCATTAAAGCTGTTGGGTCCTTGGCATTGCATTGTGTTTTTTTCCGAATATGATGTACTGAGTTGTATATTTTTATTTCATGATTGCCTAAAAACAAATCACGGAGTTAATTTAGCAACCGCCCTTCTAAATTCCACTACCATTAGCTAAATGCTTGACAGATGGTAACTGACGATTAAACAATAACGTTATACATTTTAATAAATTTAGGTGTAGGGCCGTGAATGGATTATTCCATCAATACTGAAGTGTCTCTATGTGAAGTATGAAGCTACCATCCACGTGTGGTTCTTGTGGAAGACACAGCAGCCTGACAATATCCTCCCTCATTAGTTTCAAATCACCTGTGACATTTGGTGATGCACCACTAGTGTCCTCCCAGAGAATCAAAGTGCTACTGTCCTCTCTTCACTCTCTGGGGGAGAGTAAATATGAATAGAGAGAATCGTACATTTGAATTGTATCTTTGTTTTGGAGGTGAATTTTTATCTAAGCTTTGAACCGGTGACATTCTTACACCCCCAGGGTGAGCAACATGGGCACTAACCATAATGTCAGGCTTAATGTAATGCACCAATGCATGTTGTGACTGCATCGATGGCTTTTATATTGCAGTGACGGAACCTAAAAAAACTGGGTTACACTAACCATGGATGGAGGATTCAGCTCACTGCATACTGTCTTCATCAGTGCATCAGTTAGCCCTGGAAAAGGGAGAATTACAGGGCATTACTGTTTCACATAAAACAGTGTTGGTTGTTAGTCTTTTGCAGATCTGGTGGGCAATATTAAATGTTTTTTTCATGCACACAACACTGCTTGTCCCACCTTGCCCCTTACTCCCACTGGTAATCAACTTTACCCTTTTTCCTACATTTCCTCATTTTTCTACCTACGTCTCCCCATCTTTATACCCCTAAAATCTTCCAGCTGACCAGCCCACTGATCAGCAAAATGAGCAGTGCAGGAACAGCGGAGAGTAGTAAACCTCCAAAGGTAGGTCGATTTCAATACAGACACAAGAAAGGAAAAAATAAATGGAATGCATTACTGTATAATGACTGTCTCTTTTTCTCACCTCTCCATTAGATTGGCTCTATAGTAGAGGTGACAGGGAAGGGCCAGCGTGGCACTGTTGCCTACATCGGTGCCACCCTCTTTGCCGCGGGAAAATGGGTGGGTGTCATACTTGATGAGCCCAAAGGCAAAAACGATGGCACAGTGCAGGGGAAACGCTACTTCACCTGCCAGGAAAATCATGGGATATTTGTCAGACAGTCACAGGTTAGTCACAAAAATGTGTTTTGATGTAATGATCAATGTGTTTTGTGCACATGAGGACTTGTGATTGTGTACTACAATACAGCCTCCTGTTCTTCATGCAGTCACATGGATTTCTTGACATGCTGGGGTGAGAGCGGGTTGAGGTGCAGAATTATGGTTTCAACAAAGACTTGCCTTTAAAAGTTTTGTCTAGTTTGCCCAAACCTAGTATGCATGAAAGGAAATAGATAGGTCATGTGAAATATTTCTAATTAAACAAAATGAAAAGTGCCAGTAGTTGGATAGTAGTAGTTTATTTCAGCATTTACTTCACAATACAAATGAACATCTACTTGTTCCTGCTTCTGTCCCTTTATACCTGTTGTGCTGATCACAGCCCTGTGTGTCTCTGTTGCTCTGTGTAGATCCAGGTGGTAGAAGATGGCTCCAGCTCCACCTCACCAGATGTTCCTGAGTCTGGCACTGCCAAGATAGCTAGACAAAAAGGTGAGCGAGGAATACATCTATCTCAAATTCATTCTTTAGAAATGTAACACCTCAAAATAAATTGTAAAAGATTAAATATTCGTAATTCTTAACTTGTTTCTATCAGATATTCCAGAGACTCCCAAAACATCCAAACAGGTAGGCAAACATTACTTTCACCCTTCAACTTTTCTAACTGTTAGGATCCTGTGTTGTTTCCATAACTCTGCTTGAAGATGGTTGGATTCCCTTGTGTATGTACTGTGGATTTATGAAATATGGCTTGTCCCTCTTTATAAGCTTTGTTCAAATGTATTATTGATTTATCAGTTTAGGAAAACAGCTTCACACACTGCTGATTTGAACCTGCTAGTGCCAGTTCTGTGTGATTTGTCCTTTGTGATGCATTCCTAGGCAAGGTGGTTTGTTTAAACACCTTCCCCTTTACATGTTCATTCCGGTTACTTTCTCCTCTTTTTTCTCTTCTCTATACAACATTGGATGGATCAAGTTTCTGTTCAGCCTCTCAGCTTTTTGGGTCAACTTCTCATTTGTGTATTTCTGAATGCCTTTTGCAGACACCTGCGAACATTAAGAAGGTAGAAATATTTAAACTCAGCACATTTGCTTTGCTTTGGTTATTAATCACACTAATGTGGCAACTCATCTTTTGCACTGAAATTATCCTTTCACATGTTGACATTTGCACGGGACAAACACATCACATGTCATTTTCACTGTGTTTTTCTTTTTTGTTGTTGCTTTGAACACCAGAAGTTAGGTTGATTTTGTTCAGGTGAAGGCATCCAGTGTAGACATTTAAAAGCGAAACTAGTGATTGTTTGATGGTCATCATGATGGTGTCTTTGTCATTCCTTTTGGCTTCATAATTCAGTGACACTTCACCAACATTGTTGCATGAATTCACATTTTATTCTGCTGTAATGGCTCGTGTTAAATAACTAACTTTAATAAAATAACTAACTAATTGATGATAAATGGTGCATGCAGCCAACAAAGTTATGATAAGGAGATAAAAACTAACAGTGGATATGCTTATAATCTCTTACCTTGCTTCAACACTGGACCTTTGTGTGTGTGTGTCCATTCTTCTCTGTGCAACTTGCCTCCTCCTCCTCTCCTCCAGTCTTCTACCCGCCGCTCTACCAAGGTGAGCTCGTGTCCAGCGACTGGGGAGGCCAAAGCCATCAAAACAGTGGTTAAAACCGGCCGTTAATACTGGAAAACACTGTTATTTTAATGTTTCAAATTCAGTCAAGGGTACATTTTAATATCTGAAATATTTTTAAATGCCATACATTTTTGTGTAGAATGAAGTACAAAGTAGCTTAAGTGTAATTTAGAGACATTTACCATTTTGCCTCTGTGGTTTTAAAAGGCTTTTGCAAACAGACCAATTCTTTGCAGTTTTTGGTTATGTACATTTGAAAGCTTGTAGTTGTTACACTCATCCTTCTTTTAACTTTAACAGTTATTTTAAAAACTGGTGGTTGTGTATTTGTAAACATTTCATATAGAGTATGAGCATAATTTAAACTGACTTTATAATTGATGCGTATGAATAAGAGAACAATACCACAAGCTTTCATTCTGTAATGTCAAGCTAAGTTTTACAAATAATCCTTGAGTCCTAACAGTCTCTCTGACCCTGTTGTGGCAGTGGAGCACGCCACGTCTCATGCCCGCGACCTCCCTTCCCTCCCTCTTGGGACGGCCCTCCAGCCGTTCCCGTCTGGCACTCATGGTATGCTCTGTCGTGTCAGACTACCTCACTTATTGCCTCACAGGGAGTGGTGAACCGTTTGGCCACAAAAGCTGGGTGAAGTAGTAGACCTTCATGGCACAGATACAGGGCTCTGTCACTTAAATTCTAATTTGCCTTTCTGAAATTATAGAACATGTTTTGTGGGGTATGGTGAAAGTGGGGAGGTGAAATGTTTTATCCAGACAAGATGAATACAGTTGCACAGCTTCGCCTTGGATGTTCACTTTTCTACTGGGTTCATTAAACTTGTACCATCACTGTGGAGAAGCTCTGGATTGTGTACTGACATTTACTTACCACATAAATGATGGCTGTATAATTTGTAACACTGCGTTTGTTTAATGTCTTCACTTGCTTTTTCCTCTCCCATTCCTCCCTCTCTGTCTCCTTCTCCCCATTCCATGACACTTTGTTGACAGGCATCCCGTGAGAGCCTGTCATCCTCTCAGTCTGCTGACGTTAGTGAGGCAGTCCTGTCCTCCAACCAGGGTGCACTGGGAGCTCCTGTTATGCCTCAGCCCAGTGGGTCACCTGCAGCGACGGCAGCCCCTGTCCCAGCTACTCCAAGCAAGGTGGGTCACTCACAATTTAGACAGGCTGATTTTAGTGTTGGCAGAACTAGAGAAATACGTTCAAGACACTACAGTTACGGATTAGACAAGTCATGCAAAAGATCGGTATGTGCTCTTTTAAAGACAAAGATTCATTTTCATTTCTTCCACTTTGTTTTTTTTTTTTTCCATCATATTTGTCATTTAATGAGCTTGTTCCACTTCATCTTTGTTGTCATTGTTTGACCAGGTGGAACCTGTCATTTCTAAGCAGGTAGACTTTTCTAATGGCTACATGCATGCTGATACCTGGCATGAGATTACTAATAAATGCATAACATCAGAGGGCAAATGACCCTCAGCACACCTTCTCAGTACATCGGTAGAGTTTTGTGAGATCCTCACAATGAATTTAATGGTGATAATGCATGGTTTAACTTTGAGACACCGAATTAAATACTCAATTTCACCAATGTGTAATGATGAAAGAGATTTATCTTTGTGGTGTTCTTGTCCAGTTGAGACAGCAACTTAATCTTGTTCTGAGTTTTAGGTGGTGGGACTTGATCAGTTTTTTTTTTTTTTTTTTTACTGCCTCAAAATCTTGAGAATTAAATGGCCACTTAATCCTTTAAATTTGTTAAAGGTGGCTCTTTTCTCTTACTTAAATTGCTGTGCCCTCCTGGTCTCCTGACCTCCCACCTTCTCCCTCCAACTATTCATCCTTCTCAGGAGGAGGAATCACTTCGAGCTCAAGTCAAGGACCTGGAGGAAAAGCTGGAGACGCTGAAGATGAAGCGCACCGAGGACAAGGCCAAGCTGAAGGAGCTTGAAAAACACAAGATCCAGATGGAGCAGCTTCAGGAGTGGAAGACCAAAATGCAGGAGCAGCAGGCTGAGCTACAGAAACAACTGAAAGAGGCCAAGAAGGTATAGAGAGAAAAAATATATAATGAATTTGTGGAAAGTACACAGTATAGATGTCAGCTACAGCTTTATCGTGATGTTTACAACATAATGTGACAAAATGAAATTGCTGTTTTTTCCTCCCTAGGCTTGTTAGAATGAAAAAAGCCCATTCACAGTCATACATGTTCTTGTAGAGCTTTTTTTTTTTTTTTAATTAATCCCTACCTTCTTCACCCAGGAAGCACGTGAGGCACAGGAGGCCAAGGACCGCTACATGGAAGAGATGTCTGACACAGCAGATGCCATAGAGATGGCCACACTGGACAAAGAGATGGCTGAAGAGCGGGCAGAGTCACTGCAAGTGGAGGTGGACACACTGAAGGAGAAAGTGGAGGAGCTCTCCATGGACCTGGAGATCTTGAGACATGAGATTTCAGAGAAAGGTTTGAACTCTACTCACTAATTCCAAAACACCCCTTATTCTCTTCTATCTGTCAGTCCTTTTGTTATTGCAGTCCTCATTATACTGTGCTCATTTTTTTCTGCTGCAGGCTCAGATGGAGCTGCCTCAAGTTACCATGTCAAACAGCTGGAGGAGCAGAATGGCAGACTAAAAGAGGCACTGGTCAGGTCAGTCAGATGTTTCTAAAAAAAGCTCCTTTTGATGCAACTGTAGGTACTTGTTGACTGCAGTTATGGTAAAAATAGCTTCTGTGTTGTGGACATAATGTAAATAAATCATAAGACTTAAAAGGTTACTTACATGATTTCAGAAAAAAAGGGTCCATAAAGAGAAGGAACTGAATAGGGTTTGGGCAGTTTTATAAGTCAAAATTTTGGTCTGCACCCAGTACAGAAAACTCTTCTTTTTTTCCTACCTGCTGCTTCTCAGGATGCGTGACCTATCTGCTTCAGAGAAACAGGAACATGTGAAGCTGCAGAAGCAGATGGAGAAGAAGAACACAGAGCTGGAGACTCTGAGAACTCAGAAGGAAAAACTGCAGGAAGAAGTCAAGTGGGCAGAGGCCACTATCGATGAACTGAAGGAGCAGGTAAAGTCAGGGACACACAAGAACAGATGGTGGATATGTTTACAGAGATGCTGTTTTCAGGTTACACAGTGCTGACACTAAATACTGTATGTCAAATACAGTGATTGACAGAAAAGGTTAAGACCCAGGTGCTGTACTTCATCCTGAGTATACATATTTAAAAGAAACATGGATTAAATGCACATATTTGCTTGCTTGCATGTGTGTGTTTGTACCAGGTGGATGCTGCTCTGGGGTCAGAGGAGATGGTAGAGACCCTGACAGAGAGGAACCTTGACCTGGAGGAGAAAGTCAGAGAGCTGAGGGAAAATGTGACTGATCTGGTCAGTGGTCTTCCTCAGTGTTAACGCTAGTGAGGTTTCTGTTTTCTGTCTGCTACAAGTTGTTTTTTATAATGTGCAAGTCTTCAAACTTTCATTCTGATTTCAAGAAAATTTTCTGGATAAAATCTCACTGACATTTATTAATTCCTATTCACTGTTTATGTAACAAAAAGGGAGTGCAATCACAACCTTAGATCTTTTGTCCACCAATAGGAGGCCATCAACGAGATGAATGATGAACTCCAGGAGAATTCCAGGGAGACAGAAATGGAGCTGAGGGAGCAGTTGGACCTTGGCGCTGCAAAGGTCAGGGAGGCAGAGAAAAGGGTGGAGGCTGCACAAGAGACTGTAGCTGATTGCCAGCAGACCATCAGCAAATACAGAGAGCTCACCGCCAGACTACAGGTGGGTGGAGAAAAGGCAAAAACAGCCATGTTTTTGGAAGTAAGCTTGATTTAAAGACTTGGGGCCTGACATGGTGCTTTCTCCCTCTACCTCAGGAGGCCAACAGAGAGCTGGTCAGCCAGCAGAATGCCAATGCTGAGCAAGTTCAGCAACAGCCTGCAGAACTATTTGACTTCAAGATCAAGTTTGCAGAGACCAAGGCCTACGCCAAGGTAGGAGACCTCCACTCAGACAGAAACTCAGGAGTTGATACCTCTGACACCAGTGTGCTTGTTGTCCTTATTCACAAACTGTGAACTTGTGTCTCTAGGCCATTGAGATGGAACTGAGGAAGATGGAAGTGGCTCAGGCAAACAGACAGGTATCCCTCCTGACCTCTTTCATGCCAGAGTCCTTCCTCCGTCACGGGGGAGATCATGACTGCATTCTGGTGCTCCTGCTCATCCCCAGGCTCATCTGCAAGGTATGAGGCTGTGGAGGCTCCAAGTCCTACTGTTGCATTTAGGGTACATCCCAAGTTTCATATAAGCACTTGGGTCTTTTCCATGAGTTTTGGTCTCACCCATGTAAGATGTGAGCAAAATATGAGGAGAGAGGACTCGCGGAAGCACATTATTAATGACATGAGACATCCTTCATCTGAAGCATCCACTAACTAACTGATTTCTGAGATAAGGGTATGTCAGTTCACAAAAAACGTCTGTGAAGGAGGGTCTTGTGTATCATCAGTCACGGCTCCTGCAGCAGCCTTGTTGCTCCTCAGAGCCAATATAAAAGACTTGAAACTTCCACCTTTACCAGGTGGAATGTTAAATGTAATGTGTGTAATAATGCATCAGTAATTAAAATACAGTATGATTTACAGGAATGTGAAATGTGCCCTTCTGCAAAAGGAGTACTTTAAAAATGTTTTGATGCTGATACCTTTGTACTTGAGTAATATTTTGAATGCAGGACTTGTAATATGGTATTGCTACTTTTACTTAAATAAGGGATCTGACTACTTTTTCCACCACTGTTGAGATGTACCCTCTGTTCGTTTTTGTAACCGTTTGTATCCTCATACCTTATAGGCTGAGCTGGTCAGTAAACAGGCCCAGGAGAAGTTTGACTTTAATGGGAGCCTGGCCCAGGGGACCGGCCTCAGAGGGTCCCCAGGAGAACAATGCAGTTTCGCCTCAGGGCTGGTCTACTCCCTTAGCCTGCTGCAGGCTACCCTGCACAAATATGAACAGTAAGCACTGCAGCATCCTCACTTAGGAATAAAGGATAGTGTCTGGGCTGCTGGCAATGACAGTAGAACGATCATTTCTGACAAATGAAAAAATACCAGTTGTAAACCTCAACCCACCTATTCTTCTCCCTCTCCTGGTTGTAGGGCTCTGAATAGCTGCAGTGTAGAGGTTTTTAAGCGCATGGGTACACTCTACTCTGAAATGAGCTTCCATGAGCGCGCTCTGGATTATTTCATTGACCTGCTGCATAAAGACCAGCTAGACGAGACTGTTCAGGTGGAACCTTTGACTAAGGCCATCAAATTCTATCAGGTAAAAAAGAAACACGTGGCTCAGTTATTTAATTACACAACATGGAGCTAGTATGTGTTCAAAATAACAAACAGCACAACCAAGTTACATTTATTAATTCCCTATGTTACAGAAGAGTTAACTTACTGCTGCTTTGTTTTCCAGCAACTGTACAGTATCCATTTGGCAGATCACACAGAGGCCTGCACAGTGCAGCTGGCTGACCACATCAAGGTACTCCAGCCTTCTTTGGAGGCCTAATCTCCTCTATATGTCAACATTTCAACAGTATCACTTTTAGCATGTAGCTTTCCTCTCCCCCATAATGTATTTGAATGTACCACATTAATTTTTTTTCTGTAATCATACCTTATATTATTAATGTAAAATGCAGGAGAAACACCAACTGTGACTGTTATGAATTTTAAAATAAGAAACTTAATTGAAATGTGCATTTTTCCCATAATAAGAAAATATACCTCTGAAGAAGTTTGACAAGCAAAGAGACGTGTAAATGAGAATATAATAAAAGGGTTTTCTAAATGCATGGACCCCACCCTCTCACCTCCAGTTTACCCAGAGTGCCCTGGACTGTATTGGAGTGGAGGTTGTTCGTCTGCGGGCGTTCCTGGCAGCAGGACAGGAGAGCTCTGGCCTCGCTGTGCTCCTGAAGGACCTGGACACGTCCTGCTCTGATATCAGGCAGTTCTGTAAGAAGATCCGCCGTCGCATGCCCGGAACAGATGTGGTCGGAGTACCTGTTGCTCTCAGTTTTGGACCACAGGTATGGGATATAGAAACAGTGCACGCAATGAAGCTCTGGGCTTAAGTGATGCACTGTCTACATGACTGATGCTCCAACACACACAAAAACAACTGACCTATGTTTGACAGATATATCTCATCTCACTTGGTAGGTGTCAGAGATGCTGACGGACTGCAGGCTCCAGCTGACCCGTGTGGTGGCTGTGCTGCAGGAGGTGGCTGCAGCTGGAGCTCAGATGGTTGCTCCGCTGGCAGAACAGGAAGGCCTCAATGCTCTCAGACTAGAGGATATTGCCTGCAAGGTTGTGGAGCAGGTACTAGTTAGCAAATGTATACCATTCACCAAATCCTTGTGATGCATGAACACAGGGCCCCTTTGAGCACTTATAGATTTCAGTTCAGACCTTTTTGTTTTGATAGAATTGTTAGTCACAGGTGGTTTTGCCAAACTGTTCTTACAAATCATAATTTGCATTTCTTCTATTAAAATAGGAGTGGGAATTATTTTGTAAAAAGAATTCAAATGATTGTCAGAAATCTGAATTAATGAATGAATGTATTTTTTATTCAACAGTTAAAATTAAATGGATCACCCTAAGCAGCACCTTAAGACTCATGTTTAAGATCCTACTGTATGTCCTGTTTTTATTGTAGCATTAATGTCCAGTGTGGTCACATACTGGGCTGTTACTCTGTTATTTAAGTTTGCATTCTTTTCTCCAAGGTGTACAGCTCCCAGGGCCTGAATGGCCCAGAGTGTCTGCGTCAGTCCTGCAGCTCAGTCATTACTACCATGAACAAGATGGCCACAGCCATGCAGGAAGGAGAGTATGATGCCGACAAACCTGAGGGCAAGGTATCTGTATACTCACTTTGATACATCACTTATTTCAGACAAAGCCAAGCCTATTTCTGCCTCATTCAGATTCTCACTTTATAACAATTCCTCACACCCTCAGACTCCTCCTGTGGAAATAAGAGCAGCCACCATCAGGGCTGAGATGACTGATGCTGAGGGTCTGGGAGTCAAACTGGAAGACAGAGACACAGTCATCAAGGAGCTCAAGAAGTCTCTCAAGATCAAGGTAACCGTGAAGAAGACACCTGCAGAAAAACTACTCCCCTTTCTCTGGCAAGTCTGGTCTTGTAAATAAGCCTGCTGGTTTGACAAATAGAAGAATCATAACTGTGTCTGTACTTCTCTCCCCCAGGGCGAGGAGCTGAGTGAGGCCAACGTCCGCCTAAGCCTGCTGGAGAAGAAGCTGGACACCTTCACCAAAGATGCAGATGAACGGGTGGAGAAGATTCAGACTAAACTGGATGAGAACCTTACCCTGCTCAAGAAGAAAGAAAAGTAAGTAACAAGTTTGGAGGGAGATTTCAAATCATTGTCACCTGCCCTTTTTTCCTCTTGTGCTTCTTATTTTTCTCCTTACTCACCTTCCTTTCTCTTCATCTTCAGGGAGTTTGAGGAGACAATGGATGCTCTACAGGCTGATATCGATCAGCTGGAGGCAGAGAAGACGGAATTGAAACAACGCATCAATAGCCAATCAAAGATGACCATCGAAAGCCTGAGAGGCCCACCTGCCGCTGGAATTTCCTCCATTGTTCAGGGATCTGCAGGAGGTAAATTACTATGGGGCTATGGTCACTTTTTATAAGCAGATCAAAATGTTGTCCTTTAAAGTTTGATAAAATGTGATGGCCTTTAATTCGGCTTTACAGAAAGCAATTTCACCTGCTAATAGTGAGCTATTTTGCCTGAAATCTGTTGTTCCTGTGTGCATGTGTAATTCCCTTTTGGAATAACAGAAGTAGCCTCCATATTTTGGGAAAGAAATTCTCACTGTTCTCCCTCCAGCAGGACTGCCTCCATCCATGGCAGGGCCGGTGCAGGTGGTGGACTCCCCTCTCCTCAGGCAGCAGGTTGAGGCCCAGAGACTGGGCATTAAACACCTTAAGAATGAAAACAACAGGCTTAAGGTACACTGGTTTCTAGCTGGTGATGTTACATTGCTGAAGTGTACTGGCTGTGGTAATACTCACTTCATTTCTTTACAGGCAGAGAAGATGAGGGCCCAGCTGGCCTCCCTGCCTCCACTGTGCCCTCCCAAACTGCCACAAGTGCCTAAAGACAGCTCCATGCCTCCAGAGGGCCTAAACACAGGCATCTATCGCAGGACTGACCAACTGCTGGCAACCCTGCTGAAGATGAGTGCAGAGGTTAAAGTGGTGGACATCACTGGGAAGACAGCAGGTGTGTGTGTCTCAATTTCTCTTCTCTCCTCTGTCTGTGCTTATTTCTGTTCTCAGCTCAGTAAACTGGTTAATTTTCTTTTTTGCTCTCCTGCATATCTTGTAGTTAGTGCCAGTGCACAGCTGCTGGAGCAGACAGCTCGACTGAAAAACCTCAGTGATGCTCTGGACAAACTCAAGGTGACAGCATCAGAATCCTGCCTGTTCTTCTTAACCATGTCAGTGAACCAGCAGCCTTTAACTTAACTCCATACTGTTTCAGGGAGAAGTAGCTGAACATATAGTCTCATATCAGCCTGGAGCAAAGGCCTCCTCAGACTTCGCCACCTTCCCAGTCTCTTCCTATGTCAAGGTAAAACCATACAACAAACCATCAGTTCCAAAACTATTTGTGAAAGAAATAACACATGTAAACTGACATGATGCATACATTTGTGTTTTAGGCCAAAGAAGAGAAGCGGGGAGGAACGGTGATCATAGGTCGCATTTCGATTCCATGCACTCGTGGCCAGGAACAAGTCCACCGCCTTGTCCTGTCTCCGCAGCAGCTGCACCAAGTGCACCGGCTCCTCATAGCATAAAGTAGTATGTCATTGGCCCACGGGCATGACCAACAGCACATCAAGGAGCTGTTCTTTCCCTTTATCTCATTACAGCTGGCACTTCAACATTCTGTTATTTATCCCTCTTGCATTACCCTACTCTCAGGAAATTCTCAAAATATTTGCAAAGTTAAAACTACAGCACAAATAAAAGACAGCTGTGTCTATATATTGACAAACTGGTGTTGGACCATTTTAAATGAAATCTTAATGGCTTTGACTTCTGAATGTCCTTATAAAGGTGTCACATTTTTGTCAAACTATTTGGATGCACCTTTGTAGGAATGGGGAACACTAAATAGCAACAAGTCATTTTTACTGTACTTGTACCACTGTAGTTTTTTCTTTTATATTAGTTATTCAGACAATAAAAATAAGCAGTTTACTTCAGAGCAAGAAATGTGAATGTGTCAGTGTGTTTACTGTCTGTCAGTTCACAGACATACACCAAGAGTCTAGACATCCAGGTTGGTGAATAGCTGTTTCTGTATATTGTTATCCCAGTTTGTTGATGTGAAAAAGAGGACTCTGCATTACAGAGTTGCATGCAAGCTCTACATAATCATGCCAAGATAATCACTTTAGTCTGCTGTGGACTCCAGCATACAAAGTAAAAGGACCAACACCTGAAACCAGAGCTTGGTATACCAACATTAGGCACAAGGCAGCTGAAGCCACAGTCAAAGCCACTTTAAACTTGAAGGGTAAGTGAATACATTCTTAAAATGTGCACGTAGATCACTTATGTGGAACTGTTTACAACCTAAAGTAAATATTTTTACATCATTGATGACCTGTGAGGGACGTGATATAACCCAAAACAGTTCATTTTAATCTTAACTTTAATATAGTACAAGGCACCTGACAAAGTACATAAAAGCTTTGAAATGCGCACATTACAAAGTCATTTTACCCAATCTTCTCAGTTGAAGATCAAGTCAACTTGTGCAGAAGAGAGCTTATATAAAATCTCAAAATAATACAATATAGTTCCTCCCCCCCCCTAAAAAAGGCCGGTGGGGCAGCAGATGCAAGTTGAAGACAAGAAGGGGAATTTAACCAAGTCTGAATCCTGTAAAACGCCTGTTTTAGTAGTAGTGTCAATGAGAGGTGTGTTGGCCGTGTCTGCGACAAGTGTAAGGAACATAGTGGTGCCTGGTGTGCCGGCTCCTCATCACATGCTGATGACGGTGCTCATAGTAGGGCTCAAAGTGATAATGAGGACTGTAGTTGAAACCTATGAAACACAAATACCTTGGTCTTAACATCAAATATCATTCCATACATGTTAAAATGATGAGGTATAACTTAAAAAGCCTAAGAAGTACTATTTCCACTGCAGTGCAGAGTGGAACTGGACCTGGGTGGTCTGGTCTAAGGATTGTACACCGTCTACCTACTTACCATTTCTTGCATGTCTATGGACTGGCGCGTGAATCTTTGATGGAGGGGCACGTCTGTGTCTGTCGTAATTTCCCTCTGTGAACAATGAAGAGTGGAAGGGCAGCGAGGCAGGGATTCCAAAAAGAGAGAAAACGTTAGTGATTCAGGACAACAAAACTGATCCAGAAGTTAAGTATTTTAAGCAGTTTTCCCTTTTGAACACAGATCAAGGACACAGCAGGCAGACATGAAGCAAGAACCTTAAAACCCCAAAAACCCTGTCTGTGTGGATGTTACACACAGTACAATAACACATCATCACCTGATGTCTTACTTGCAGGCCTGATAACATTTCCATTGGCTGGTTGCTGATCTGTGACCTCAATATTCTCTGAAAAAGAACAAACTCATGTTAACATAAATGAATAGAACACATTCATTAAAAACCCCTTTAACAGAAACCAAAAATGCATGTGTGTAAGAGGTAGAGTTTCCCAGTTTGCTGGAGAATAGAAGAAAAAAAAAACACCACCCCATTATTGCAGTATGCCTAAACAGCAAGTTTTGTCCTCCAGTGGGAGAGTACATTTCTACATGTGTGCAGTCTTCCACCTCACCAGCAACAGTCAGTGGACAGGGCATGATGACACCCCAGGCCTGTGCAGCGTGCTGTAACAGCAGGGATGTTATCTTGCGGTGGGCAAGGGCGTTCCAGTGGACCCCATCTTTTGTACGGTGATGCAGGGAGAAGCGGAACTGGAAGTGGAAGTCCAACACGTCCATGCTGTAGGCATCAGCCAGAGTTGCACTGTAGAAGTTGGCTTCAATCACATCGTAACGCAGCTGGGATGCTTTGTGCTCAATCTGAGGCCATTGAAAGGGAGAGGACAAGACTCTAATGGTGCACTTTCACCAACATCTCTCTGCTGTGGGACAGGGCTACAAATACAACCTGCTGGAACTAGTGTGGCATGTGAACTAACAGCAGCAGTCTACAAAGTTGTTAACAGTGTTCATTTCTCATGTTAAAGTTCAATCAACTGAACTCAAGGTGAAGAAAAGGAAGCAGGTCAATTTGCAATCAAATCAAATGTGACTCACTTGGCTACAGATATGAATGGGAAGCAGCTTTTCGACTGCCCTATCAGGGTGGAGGAGCAGCAATAGTTCAGAGGAAAATAGACAAATAAGCCTCTTACCCTCCAGAGAAAATGTATGTACTGAAAATACAACCAAAGTCAGTTTTTACAAACTAAGAAATTCCTGCAGTTTCAGTGATGCAACCCAATTTAGTGTTACTGGACTGAATGTAACAGACACCTGGTCAGATCACACATACAGTATCTACTGCATATTGTGGTGGTCTTCTTGCTATAATAAGGGGAACTTTTAAATAAAATCACAATGGTAATATTGCATTTGAAAATATTTTCCCAAACTAGATGCCACATACATACACTACGTATGTGGCATCTAGTTTGCATTCCTGTTTCCTGTCTGCCCCTCTGCTTCGTTTGTCCACCTGCTGTTGTTCTGCTGACAGGGAAGCTGATTCTGTCAGTGTGGGCTGAGTCAATGTACAGTACATGCCTTGCATTGTAAGGGGATATATTTTTGGGACAGAGCCAACACATTTCCATATTTACTTATGATACAGATTGTTTATGATGTTGTACCTCAGGAATCAGGAAACCACCTCTGATTCTTTTAGCCAAGGGCATGGTGAGGCTCCATATTACCAGGGTTTCCTTTGGCAGAATTGCAACCAGCTCCTCAAAAAACCTGTTGAGGTTTTCCTTGTAGTCACTGATCCAATTGCACTTGTATCTACAAATCAACACAGGAAAAACATTCACTATGCACTACTAACTGGGGCTTTGTTGGACAGCAAACATCTGTCTCTATCACATACACCATTTTGGACAAAATCTTATGATGCTGCATGACTTAGTGAGTATCGAGTCTGTGGAAAAGCACAGCTGTTTGGAGCAGGATACTATCATGCAGAGAAATGCTCACCTCTCCCCACACTTCTCTCACTGCTGGATCAAAGGCTGGGGATGAATTACACCACAACTACATACTTTTGGCTGACCCAAAAATCACATTTGATAAAAGTTATGCACAGTATGTTAAAGTGCAAGACTCCTGAAAAGTAACATCTTATAGAAAAAAAAAAGGATTTTCATATATGAATACTCAAGAATTTTTTTTTCTGACATAATATATGTATATCAAAAGAAAGCAACTAATCCAGGAACATGGCATAAGTTCTTGAAAATTATATTTTTATTTCACTTTGTATCAAACAGCTAGAAACTGCCTGTCTCACCACTTTAAAATACAACAGCAGCCCCTTAATGACCAAGTCACACTTTTACAATATCAAATGAACAGGCAGGGAAACGGTACTACTACAGTAGAACTAATAACAGATACTCCTTCACCTACTCACCTCGAAATATCCCAAATGCAGGAATTAACAATGACTACATCTGGTTTCATGCCGTGGCGGATATCTTTCAAGATACTCTGCATGTATCCATTGTAGATGCGTGTCACGAAATAGAAGCGGACCAAGTGGTGGGCTGATTGAAACTGTCGGACCTCTCTGTATTCTGTTCCATTGTGCATCTGATTTAGGCACCCTCCTTCTACCAAGCAGTCCTGCTCGAAGTTCATCTCCCCCTGATCAAAGAAAGATGTGACAGCGAGGACAAGAAAAACAAAACAGAAGAGACACAAATAATACATATTTCAGGACAGATGAAAAAGCAGAAGAGGCACAGACTTCTGTCCAAAGCTACATATACATTTCTTTTAGTGCTTCGCCCTCTTTGTCTTCTTTTCATCACTATGTAAAAGTGTTAAATATTAGTCCTTGCCTTGCTCTTGAGTTGGTTCCAGGTCAGATATTTTTCGCTCTGCAGCAGGAGAACAAGGTCCTTGTAAACAGAGCGCTGAACTGAGGAAGAAATACACAGAGCACCAAAAATGACAATGTGACAAGTTCATCCATGTTCATAACCCAGCAATCTAATAAAGGGTGCCTACAGATTAGATGTATAACTAACTACTCAACTGTTAAAAGTAAATGTACAAAATAACCTTCCTGGCAGCAAGATGACACATAGGAATTTTAATTACTTTAAGTCATAATCTTACTTGGTGCAAACCAGGATTATCATCAGATACTAAAATGAAAACTAACAAAAACTATTGGTTTTGAAACATTTTCATAAACTGAAATGAACTAATTTACCTGAAGAAAACTAATAATGGTTGCTAAAAAAAAACTACATTAAAATAAAGAAAAACAAAAATAAATGTTATCATTCTGTACAGAGGTTCATTCAAGACAGGGGGTGACCCAAAAATCTGTGTAGCTGTAGCTTGCAAGCTGTAAATGGCAATAAAGCACCAGGACCTACATTTACATCTTATCAAGTGAAAGAGTGAGGTCAAGATGTCAGGAAGAAAACAGAAAACTCAACAAATCTTTAAATTCATCTTCAAAGTTATTATCAAAAGATCACATAGCATTCATAGAAATTCTTGGATGCAGAGAGAAAGAGCATTAGCAACAAGGGTAACATTAGCGATAACATCCAGCAAACAGCAAAACTTAACACACTGCTTGAAAAGATGAGCGAGAGGAGTGGATAACCAACCCCAAACAAAGAATATATATATATAAACAAAACAAAAAACAGGAAAATGCACTCATCAATAGCAATAACAGAAGAATGTATAAACTGGCTTGAAGTAAACTGGTTAAACGTTCAAATCGTGATCTTTGCCAGTCTGAAATGTGTATTTCATACATTAGTGTAGTTTAGTCTTGAAATTTTAATATCTTCATGATCAGTTGATTTATACTGGCCCTTGACAAATTGTGTCCTTAACTAAATCTAGTAAAACTAAAATAAGTTAAAACTAAATAATAATTAGTCCATAAACTAAACAGAAATTCAGATTGAATCAAAAAATATCAAAATAAAACTAATTTGGAAATGGGAAACTATTATAACAAACTTCTAGACACCTGTTCAAACAATCTTTGCAGGAGGAGGTAAAGTTAAATACTACTCACTGGAGTCTCCCAGCACCAAAACAAACTTGTTATGGAGCAGCTGACTGCACTGCTGGTGGCTTGCAAGATTCATCATCTCCTTCTGTCAATACAAAGCAAATATGAGAGAAAGAGAGAAATAGAAACCAAACATTTAGTCTTACCATTAAAACACTGTGAAAGCAAGAAGACAATTTACTTATGAAATACAATGCAAGTGGGATTCGGCCTGACAAGTGTAAGTAAGACTATGCTACATAACTGTGTTATTTAAAATTATATACTTCTTATATGAGGAATGCTTGGGACCATAAGAGGAAAACACTATATCAGTAAGGAGTGGGATGACCATGATGTGATTATGACAATGTAGGATTTTGAAAATGATTAATTTTATTACTTAGTGATTTTTTCTGTGCCTATCCTCCAAACGGCCATTGTTATTTATGTGTCGCAAACATTTTACTGGAAGTGAACTAACCTTATGGTTGATCAAGTTCCTGAGGTCTCTGGTATACTGGTATACTGGTACTGAGCTCTTTAAGAGCTGCTGACAATCAGATCCTGCACAGAGATCAGGGTCGTGGACAAAATCTTTGGCGCCGTGCATCTGTCCCCTTCTGTTTCAATTAAAAAATAACCTAACAATAGATAACAGGCTGGTTAGATTAAGCATAGCACAAGATATGGTTATGTTCAGGCTACCGTAAAGGTGTCTTCACATTATTGCTGAAAAACAAGCTTTTGTGCACCCTTCACCTTGATCTACCTTAACAGATAGCTAGCTTTAACCACAACTAGCCATATTTTTACGAGTCACCCTCTTGCTAAAGCCACACAACAGGTCAAACTTTGCATATGGATAGATGTGGGTTTTAGAAGTCAATATTGTCTGTAAATTTTGAGGTAACCACCATAACTTTTTTAAATCAACTTAGGCCTCATTTAGCTAATGTGGCGCCAAAGCTGGAATTCATACTAGCTATCCCGAAAGTTTTCTTTGCCATAAGTTAGCCAAGAGCATCTCAGATTATAGCAACCAATTCACGACTGTGCTCATAAAAACATTACTAGTTTTACCCGTTTCTGGAAAAAAAAGAAAAGAAAAAAAGCCCCTCCAAACATTTATGTTCACTTTGAAAAGGAAAGCCAAATTAAACCATACCTACTTAGCGTCCTGATAAAATCCTCCAAAAGAAGTACCTTTACAAACAAACAAGTTTATAATTGGACCAATCAAATTGTAGGGCTCAAATCAAAGAATATCATTGGACAATAAAGGTGTCACTCAATTACTGCTGCAATTAAAGCCCAGAGATCCGCCCACCTAACATTTTCTATAAGAATACGCCCAGGGGTTAGTGGAGGCTGGAAAATATAAATCACTTTCATTTTACTACACAATCAAGTATAACATACAAATAAATTAGGCCTATTTATTATCATCACTTAAAGGTAATGCAAATTTAACCAGAATTCGTCATGCAAATTTTACATTTAACCTAATATTTTAATTATTTCTGCTATTTGAATAATAAGTGTATTAGATTGATTTCTGTTTCTAAATTTTAAATATATTTAAATATTACTATACATAATTATTAGTAGTTTTTATGTTGTATTCATTGAATAAACATTAATTTCGAATGCTTTTGTGTGGTCAAATGTAACAAATATAGGTCACAGTTGTGGAGTAACACTTGTTTTTATTACCTGATCAGTCATAACTGCTTTTATGGTATGTATATCTTAAATCCACTCTGATCGCAGATGTGCTTTCAAACTGAGCTTTTGTTGTCAAGGATAAATCATTAAAACCAAATCAGTCTTATGTGCTTCAACTGACAAAATTATTATTCATTAACAGAGGCAGGACTATTTCAGGCAGACGGTATAGCTCCCCACTCCTTCTCTATCATGTATGTGACCAAGTGCTTATATATACCACAGCACCCAAAGCATTTAGCTCATGAACAATAATTCATGATTCAACTCTAGTGAGTCAGGGCAGGCAGAACAAACAGGACACCAACATTTAGCAGCTCTCACTAGTATTTTAATGACATAATCCACAGTCCTTGCTTGGTGCAAAACATATTCTTAACAGCTATAATCAATATTTAATAACAATGACAACTGCATAAACTAATGTCTGTGCTCTTCATCTCACACTCTACTTTCAGTAGAAGTCACTGTTATCATCATAATCCATCACTTGTATCTGATCTTTTTTCATCTCTTCCACTTGTTTCTCTTTGTGCTTCTCCTCCTCTTCTTCATCTGTCTTGTCTTCTTTCTTAGTGTCATCTTTTTGGTGAAATTCCTGGTATATCCCAGTCAGAGCTTTTGCTGCTTCCACAGACACTTTCAGATTTCCTATCACCTCCCTGTCTTCATCCACACTCACGACTGGAGGAAACAGGCAGAAAAATTTAGAAAACTCCATGTTTTCACATAGTGTCCCTGCAGGAATATGATTAGTAGTGTTTTCTTTGCACCTTTCTTTTTATTATTGACTCACAACCAACTTAAAAATAATCCACACTATAGCATGCAAAACACCAGACACACAGAGGTGAAACTATTACACAAACACAACACCTACTGTCAATTTGTTGTTCGATGACATCATTTCCTGTGAGCAGCAGTTCCTGTAGGTCCACAAAGGCATGTCCAACATCCACACACTCCTTGTCATCATCCATTGGCTCACTGACTACTGTGAACTTTAACCTGCCATGACACACACCCACCATTACATTTTGTAATTTGGGTCTGTTGACATCCATAAACAGCAGAGTCATCATCTGATGGATTTACTCACACTTTAATATGTAAAATTACACAAAAAAATACAAATGACACTACCTGCCCTGGGTGGGGTCAGTGCCCTCCAGCATGGTGTAAAGATAGTGTCTGAGTGGAGCTGACTGCGAACCATCCACATAGATCACTGAGAGAGACAAGGACAGAGAGTCTGTGTTCATAAAAGACAATCATAATCATAAATGATTAGATTTTATAAAAGGTCTTTAAGATGAACACGTAAAAACAAACACACAAAGCTCACCAACTCTCACCTCGTGTGAAGTTGTAGTGAATCTCCTCCCCCTGTGTGGGTTTGCGGAGGGACATGGGTGTTTCTGTCATCTCCACTGGGACGCCCAGCAGCCGATATTCCACATAAACACGGTGCACTGACTCGTCCATCGCCACGCTTGAGGATGGTTCAAATGTCAGGGACAGGATCTCAATTCTCAGCTTGTCTCCCTTAAATGCAATGAAATGCTGTTCAGTTCATAACCATTTACTGAAGCAGATGACACATACTGACATGCGACTGACAGATTTATCTATTTGTTTTATAACTTTTGAGTTTATTTAACATCAAACTTATATTAGATCCACAGATGGACAAAAGATAATACTATAATGTGATGCTAAAATCCTCACTCATTTGTTTTCCACTGATTTCTCTCACTCACTCATGTACCTTTCTCTGTTTTCGTTTAGGTGCGATGATTATTATGTCACTTTGCGAGGAACTTGACTCTGATGATTCTGGCGTTTCACTGTCTCCTGCAGCAGCTGTTAAAAATTAACACGAGAAGACCTGAATTGATTTCATTTTAAATGTCCATATTTCTTAAAGGGTTTGAGCTCAGGTTATGTTGTCATTTTTAATATTTAAACAATGGCAGAGTGATGTTTAATATAACAGAGAAACTCAACACAAGCGTTTATTGGCCCTGTTATGTGTATGTGAATAATTACCATTCTCACTCCTTTCCTCTTCTTCTTCCTCTTCATCCACTGACACCTGAGTCACAGAGGGAACGTCCTGAAGTAAGAAGAAATGATATATGAAGCCATTCACCTTCGGATTCTCAAATGATGTTTTTATTTTTTAATTACTGCTTTGTTTCTTTGTACACCACTGTTTGGACTGTTGACTGCATTATTTCCTCTGCAAATGACTCATGATATGTAGTTTGAAGTTCTTTAAGCAACAGAGAGTAAATGAGCTCCTACCAGAATCCTGGCATCACTAGCAGATCTTCTCCTGGACAGTGTGGTCAGTGACTGTCTGGAAGGCGCTGCCTCTGAAGATCTTCAGTAAGATTAAAGTATGTCTTTATTGTATCTTAATTTGAAAACATTTGTAGCAGTGTAAAAAATTAAGACTGTACAAAGAAAGCACAGGTGATATAACACATTTAATGGTATATTTTGAATATTGAGCTTGAATTTAAACTTCAGAGGAAACAAATTTTTTTCTATCAATTAAAATCTGCTCTGACAGCTAAGATCCTGCTTCCTTTTTGTCTTTTTCCATAAAAACTTCTACAACTCTAAGAACACCAGACACCACACTAACAGATAATGAATTTGATTTTTCAAAGAAAAATCAATGAACAACTTACTTCCTAGCTGGTAAATCAGCGGGTGTGGTCAGTCTTGGCTCAGGGAACAGGTGGGTTGTACCTGGGTAAAGCACAGGTGACATCTTGGTGGATCTCTTCCTGTGTGAGGACTGATGAGTGGCTAGCAGTTTCACAGGGAGTGTTTGTTCAGGATGTATGTTCTGTGAATTATTGTGTTTGACAGGTGGAGGCCGAGGCTGTAAAAAGACAAAAATACTAGTAAACAAACTAGTTACATCATGAAAATAAACAGCTCAGTTCAGTAAATATATTTTGTTGAGGTATATAATTCTTACCCAAGCTTTTGTCTCTTTTTGTGCATCCTTCATTTCACTTGGTTCCAGCAGCCTTGTCTATAGTGAGAGCAAAGGAAAAAACAAACAGGCTTTAGGTTAAAGAACAGGATCTACTGTTGAAATTACTTTTTAATATTTACACATTGATTTTTGAGGACTTCTTTACTTGAAAATCTCTGCACATGATGTCACTTAATCACAATGTATAGTCATACAGTATTTCCTTTGATAGATGTTTAGTTTTTATTTTAGCAGTTTACTCTCTCTTGTTTGAAAACAAATGTATTTATATAAAAATACATGCTCAGCTCCAAAATTCCCAAACATTTTGACACACTATTACGTAGCTTCACCTTGACTTTGGGCTTGGCTGTAGACCTCTGTGGCACCTCAGACAGCTCTTTCCTTTTCCCCTCCCTCTCGCTGCTTCCCATTGCTCTACCCTGCTTCTCCACTGCTCTTCTTTGTCTCCCCAGCAGGGTGTCCAGTGTTGGTAGGAAGGGGTACTTCCATTTTATCATGACCCTAACCATGCCCCGAGGTCCCCCAGCTGGATCCCTCAGAACATAGTCACCTGGCACGACAGAGGAAACGGAGTGGCCCTTTTAAAACCAGCTTCTATGGTTCTTAATACAGACATTTGATGTAGCCCAACTGTAACAACAACATGCTGGCTTTCACCACTGAACGAGGGATGGAGATGAACACCTCTCTCCCTCACCTCTGATCTCTCTGCCTGTAGCCAGGGCTCGCAGTGGGATGGGGGTCTTGGCCAGATAGGCTGATGGCATCTGGTCATCGCTGTCATCAAATACATACACCCAGAGACTACTAGATCTGGACAGAAGTGACAGAAAACCCTTTAAATATTTAGCAAAAAGAGGAATCTTTACCATTAAGAGTTAAAATTTTCCAACAGTGTTGATGATACTCCTCAATATGGGCCAACCTTCAGTCAAAAATATACACCATACCTCAAATAGTGTAGCACATCAGTAGATATTGCCAGTGGGTAGCTGGTGGCATCGTTGAACACTGGGTCAGCGGTGCACTGGACTGTCTGAGAGACATGAGGCGGCAGGTCATAGAACCTGTATGTCAGGTAGGCATCAGGAAGGAGGCCTGGCCAGCGAGCGTTAAGGCCCACACAGCGCTCCAGCATAACCACCAACTCATTGGGGATCCCTCCACCATAGTCATGTAACTCCTGCTGTAATTAAAGTTTTTAGAAAGACTCACTGGGGGAAAACAAAGCCAGAATAGCATGCATTGCAATATACTGTACCACTGTATTTAAGTAAGAAAATGTGGAAGGTTTTTTCTGTTCGGGTGAAAATAAAATTAGTAAATAAACAAGTCCTTCTTCTTTACAGACTGCCCTCAACATACTGTAGATCATAAATACAATGCTGAACAGTATTTCCTTCCATTGTGGTCACACACTTTCAATACAGTGAAACCAGCCTTGAACCAAGGACATGAGACAACCTTTGTGCCCCTGGTTGAACAGGAACTTTTGGGCCTAAAGACAATGTTAATACAACAAAACTTGTTGCCGTCTGTGCCCTACTTCTTGACCGCTGTCTTGCCAACCATAAGAGATCTGCATAGGACTCCTCTGTGTCGCTCTTCTTTCAGCTGGCCCCTCTACCACACTGTCCATGGGCTTTGCAGGAGGGAACAGGCGCACCCAGAAATCCACAACACCAACAATTTCACTTTCAAGGCCTTGAAGAGAGAGATGTGTGGACATGAATTAATGCCTGTATTCAAACTAGTGCAGATGAAGAAACACAGGTAATACATAGGGTATTGTGGTGTAGAATATTCATTTTATAAAAGATGTTAACAGACTGTATGCAGGAAAAAGAAGCATAAAATTCTGTATAAATGTTTATGAATCAAACATTACTTACCTATGATGTTAAGACATCCACCAGTACGCTGCCCTCTCCTTTTCATGGGACCCATAAGAGACATGTGCCCACTTCCAAGGGTTACGAACCTGGCCCCTCCTAATGCCTGGTGGAGCTCCACTCTGACCCTTGACCCCTGACCTCCCAGCCTGCCCAGATCACGGGCTGTGAGAGCGTAGCGGGATGTAAAGCCATAGTTAGGCTGACTGCCTGACACCAGAGGAGTGGAGTGCACCTCGAAGTCCAGGAGACTGTAGGTGCAGAAGGTCACAATGTCCTCATCTCTGTCCACTCTGGGACACATGCTACCCATAGTCCGAAGTCCTGCTGGGGTGAAGGTGGCAGCCTGGAAGTGCACAAACAGCAGATATGAGCTTCTTAAAAGATTTCAAATGTAATTATTTAGAATCAAAAAACATCAGTTCAGGTACAAGGTCTACGTTTTCACCTTAAGATGGATCTCCAACAATGACTCCCCAGGTCTCAGATGGGATAAAGACAAGTCGTCCTCAATGGGCTGTACCACCTCCTGATCTCCAGCTGACCAGGTGTACTGTACTGGTATGGTGCGTTTATAGTTCCTGGGGCTGTACGCTAACTCTTTCAGCTGAGCTATAGAGCAGAAATAATAACGGTTTGAGATTCTGAAGGTTGCCCATTTTCACTAACCACCCAGTTGTGTTTTCCTAAACACACTGTAAATGAAAACACTTTACATGTGATTGAGGACTGCACAGTGCATGCCGCCTCTATGACAATGAATTAGTTAATAACTATACAAAAACAAAGATCTAAGTAAATTCAATATAATATATCTAAGTATATATAACCTTGTAATGTGTTGATCTGTAGAGCTCTTTTTGATAAAAGTTTGTCTTTCTCTGCCATCCTCCTCCTGCTCTCCTCCCTCTCTCTCTCCATCTTCTGGCTGACTGTGTTCAACTCTTCCTTGGGGTTAAAATGGAAAGACGAGGATTGAAATCACATCTGTAATAGCGTTCAGTGCTACTCAGCCTTGTGCGTATTTGACAGATGTATTTGCTGCGGACAGTATGTGTGTGTGTGTGTACCTTCAGGTCTTTACTGATCTGGTGCTCCAGCAGAAGAAGGTTTCTGGTTTTCTGTAACTCCAGTACAGTCTCAGCATGCAACGCCTGGATGCTTACCAGCTCACGAGATGAATCATCCACCTTCCCATCAGCTAAGAGGAAACGCAGACCCTCTCTGCCCTCCTGCTGCATCCTAAACATCTGTAGTTAGATGGAGAACATGATATGAAGTTTAAAAGTAGCTGATTTATTCTACTTAGCAAAAGCAATATTAACATACTGTAGGTACGAGAGCGCAAACCTTGATCTGCAAAAGAGTTTCACTGAGCTCCTCAACGCTCATGTCAAACACCTAGAAGAGAAGATGACAGCTGTGTCCGGATATGTGCCAAAAACAGGATACCACACAGAAAACCGACAAGAGACAGCTGTTCAAGAGTGAATGCTTCATGGCTTCATCTCTGACCTTGGTGACAGAGTCCAGTCTGTTCTGCAGAGCAGAGGCCTGCTCTCTGTACTGGAGAACCTCCTGTTCTAGATGTTCTCGTTTCTCTCTCATCATCACAGAACGCTCTAAATGAAATAACAACAGACACAAAAATGAATGAATAAATAAGATTACATATATGTGTCTTGTCCTAAGTTTCTCTCTAGGGAATCTATTTCCTTTTGGAGGGGAAGATAGTGTTGTCATGATTTATCTTCAAAAGCGAATCTCATGCTGAGATTCGTACCTCGTTCGTTCTCTCTCTGCTCCTCTAACAGCTCCTTCTCCTGCCTCAGTTTCTCCTTCTCCAGTTCCAGCCTGCCTTTCTCCTCCTTCTCTACTTTCAGCATTTCCTCCAGTCTCTGAATATCCATCCTGCAGATGTTCTCCCCCACGTCCTCCCTCTCCTGGTCCACTTCTCTCTGTTTTCGCACTTGCCCATTATGACTGATTTGTGCAGATAAAGTACTACAAAAGAGAACAGGCAAATATAAACATACAAGGACAAATATAAAATGACAGTTCAGAAGTCACTGCCAAATGTTGAGAGTACCTTTGTCATATTAGCAAAGGCCTCATCATTGAAGTCTTCTGGCTAATGTGCCTACTGTTTATTTTGTAAGTTATGGATTGTTCTGCAAAGATTAAAACTCCTACCTTTCTAAAAGAGTGTCATAGTTTTCTTTTATCAGATCCCTCTCTCCCTCCAAGTCTGATATCCTCTCCTGTAGCTGAAAGAGAAAAAATGATTAAGTTACACAGTCCCAGGTTTGTTATACTGACACGTCTGCCTCTTTCTGTCATCTAGGTTCTTGTCTCCTAGTCTGGATTTATACGTGCAGATTGGCAAGTCAAGTTAGATTTTAGTTATGCAGCCCAATATCACAAATCAGCACCACCACATATGACACCTTCTGCCCTTAGACTTTCAAACTGGATAAGGAACACAACAACAACAATGCAGCAATGTGGCACCTTGTCCAGGCTCTGTATAGAGAGGGTGGCAATGGTAAGTTGTCCCTCCAGTGCCAGCGCTCTCTGTCTCTCCTGCTTCAGCTGGTCAGTCAGATCTTCCACTTTCTCCAGCAGAGCTCCCTGGCTTTCCTTCAGTGACCTCTGACTCTGGGGTGAAAACAACTAATCTATGAGTAAGGTCTTGTAGTAAAGTATTCATTGATTTTGGTTTGTGCCGAGGCTTTTACCTCTTCTAGCTGCTTCTCATATGTCTGGAAAGACAGACAGAAAGAGAGAAAGAAAGAAAGCGCAAACCAAAGAAGGAAACAAACATTTATGGACCACTCCATGTTTTAAGTATCGAATTTGATATTTTAAGCAAATTAATAACAGTCAAATAAATAACTGATTTACAGATGAAATGGCTGACACAAAGGCTTTCTTACTTCTTGTAGGTTGTCAAACTTTTCCTGGGTGACTTTCAGAGCAGTGCTCTTGTCTGAGAGCTGCTTTTGTAGACGGATCAGATCCACATTCTCTCTGATGATTATTCTAGCAGGAAAATATTCTTATTTACATTACTGTAGTGATAACTGCAATAGAAGTGGTGACTGGTGGGAACAAAAAGGTGCTACTTCAGATATTTTACTGATTGTATAAATGAAGGTTTAAAAATACACTTAAATATAAAAGTAGCTAAGAACAAAAGCCTTACTTGAAGAAAATCAGGTTAGGCAAAGTTCAGTACATCATAACAAATCTACTGATTTAAAAATATACTCCAAAAGCTAAACCCCCCCCCAAAAAAACAATTTGACTGCAGTGTCAGGAAAAAAAAATTATCACTTCAACATTCCCCCAACACCTGTGTCTGTCGGCCTGCTGCTTCCTCATCTCTGTCATGGTTCCCTCTATCGCTGTCTCCTTCTCTTTCAATGTGTCTCTGAGTGCCTGGGCAGCCAGCTCCAGCTCTGCTACTCTCACCTGCTCTGTAACACAGGCCCTGCTGGATAGGAGAGGTGGTGAGTTCAAGGTGGAGGCATAGGAGGTTTTAGAGTAAAGGGGACACACAGGTGGTGGGAAGAAGGGAGAATGATGAGATGATTGGAGGTTTATAGGAGAGAAAGTACATGGATGTGTTTAGGACAATGAAGAATGGAAAAAACAGAGGCATAATTTACTTACAGACCTGAGCACAGACCATCTGTTTAATAAACAGGAGTGACTGATGAATGTCATTCTTCTTTTCTGTTTCTGCTTTGGTCATTCAATACATTACAAAGTAGACACTTACATCTCCATCTGTGCCCTGGTGTCTTCCAGTGTGGGGCCGTAGCGAGGCGGAGCTGTCTGAGCTGCCCTCCTGACTCCACCTTCCACATCCATAGATCTACCTGTCAAAAAGAAGAGATAGAGGAAGGGCACATAGTGAACAGGAAGAAGTCACTCTAGCCTATTATGAGCTAGATGTTTTTCACAACACACACACCTTTGCTAAACTTGTGTGGTGTGTGTCCTCCCAGGTCCATAATGTGCTGCTTGGCCAGGCTGAGTTTGCTCTGTAGCACCCCCTTCTGGCTCTCTAGCATAGCCACATGGGCTTCTAGCTCCTGTATGGTGTTCTCCATGTCCCTCTCCTTCACACCACTGGATCCAGGAGTGGCTTGTTGAAGACGCATCAGCCTGGTGGACATCCTGAGGCAAAGAGGGGACTTGTCTTTATTACATACTGTATGCTTTTAAATCTGGGCCCAGTTAAGCCCAAATGTCTGCTGTTAGGTAAAGTCATTAGTGTATTACAGAGTTTCTGCGGTAATGTGTACCACCTGCGTAGCCTCTGCTCCTGTGTCCTTGTGTGTTGTCTTAACACACTGTTCTCCTCCTGCAGTCGAAGATACAGGTCCTCCAGATCTCCCCTGGGAAACCAAAACAAGTGCCGAGGATCTGCAGGAGAGAGGCCGAGAGACAGAGAGAGAGACAGGCAGCAGAAATATTAAAAAAATGTTTAAAAAATGTATTTAGAGACATTTATTCATAGACAATTGAATTGCTCAAAATCTGATAAAGTGAGTTTTGCAAAGTGGTGTTACTTTTTGCCCTTTTCTTCCATGGCTTCACAGCACGTATAGTATCTGAGGAAACAACCGGAAGGTGATGTTTACAGAAAGTGTATTTGTAGACACACAAATGTAAACAAAGGTCCATTAATTTCCAAAACCCCCAGTCCTTACATCCACTCTGAACATTATCTGTTCCTTGTCTTACCTCAAAGCTACAGCTAATTGCAATTTTAACCATCAAGGAAAACACCAGACGTTTGATGAAAATGCTAACATTTAATGTACTTTGATCACTGGTGCTGTTGCTTTGTGATAAAACTGTTGTATTATCTATGATGATTAATAAAAAATCCTACCAAGTTCTAATGATATTAGTACTTTTTTTAAACAAATTGTTTAAGTAAACTTTATACATTTTTATAAAAAGTCATAATGTTTGCAGAGCACATTAATACAAAACTGGTCTTCTATAGTACTTCCAAAAATTTACATTGATAAATTGATAAAAGTAAATCTCTTCTAGCTAATAAAAGGCAACTTTTTATTTTTCTGGAAAACAGACTAAATTAGCGAGCTATCACTTAAGAACAAGCTCATGACCCAGTGATCTTCATTCTGAATTGTGATTTTGACTCTTCTATTTTATCATTACTTAATGGACCTGTCACTGAAATTCTAATTCCTACAATTTCAGGTATTAATTAATTCTTGGAACATTAAACAATGTTCCAAAAGCATTCATGCCCACTTATTACAGAGCATTGCACACATCCATACACAAACCTGAAACAGCTGGCATCAGTCCCCCTCTCATCAGTCCAACATCTCTGACGGGGAGGTCCCCAGCCGTCTCGTCCACCACTGGTGACATCACACCTCACTGGTCTTCAAAATGTCACTATATCCGACCGGTCACATTTACAGACATAACTGGTTCACTCGCCTCCATTCAGGTGAAATTATACACTGGAATGGGGAAAAATGGTTGTATGAAAAGTACAATTCAACCCTGTGACCATGACTTCTTACATTTACATATCATATATTCAATTAATTATAGATCCTTAAAAAAACCATTCCAATCAACACTACAATAAACACATTCTATATTAAATTGCTAACTTCCCTGTGGGTCTTAAAGTGGAGCCAAAGCAATGAGAAAGCAGTACCTTCTGTTACAGAGATGAGCTTTTAAACCGACTTGTCAAAATGGCAGTCCACTACCTTACCTCTGCTCAAGCCTGTAGATGTCATTCTCAAGAGCATCAGCTTTTCTATACAGTTTTAATCAAGTCATCAGCCAAATTTGATAGTTTGCTGTTTTAAGCTCTACACTGCTTACACAGTTACTTATAAAAAAAAAGCAGCACTTCCAACTCATACTGGGTGGACAATGGGGATTTCTGATGCTCCCTCCTACATTACAATATCAGACATTAATACTGAAAACTACATTCAGTAATATTTGGCTTACCCTTGTTTGCTGGCCATCTAAAGCAGGTTACCTCTGGTACAGAAACATGTTGTTAACTTGTTCTTTGTAATCTGGAGGCTGTGTGTCACTGCCCTGTGCTCAGATGATTTCAGTTTTAATCCCTCTTTATCCCTTCGTCTTTCACAGCCCCTTTTAGCTCAGTCTTTACAGATACAGTATGTTTCCTAGCTAAAAATCTTCCTGAAATGAACAATGTTAAATGATTAGTTGCCATAACTGTGTGTTTATGTGCACACATTTTGTTCAGTGACATATCTTGTAGTGTACCTTATGTGTATGTATTGCCTGCCCCAAGATTCAGTCCTGAAATCTGTCTCAGTGCTCCATCTGCCTTGGAGCTAATCCTCTTTACTAATCTGATTCGTAACCACAAAGTTGTACAATCTAAGACTGAAGTCAGTTTTGTCTCTGCAGTGGCTCAGGATAGATATTAACAGAATGAGGCAAGCCTACAATCAGCTATTTTGTGAAAGAAGGAGGGTAAAGGAGGAGAGGAAACAAAGGGAGGTTTGATAGATGCAATACTTTAAAGTTTATTGAGGGAAGGGATCAAGTCAGAAACATGATATGTGTGGTCCATGTGTAAAAGGAGCTTTTGTTGTTGAAGGAAACATCAATTACTGATGAAAAGTATCATCTCTCCCCAACAGGAAATATAACATGTTTTGTACCTCTGAAGATTTCAGATGGCAGCCAAAATTATGATGAACTAGCAAAAGTGTTTCAAGTGTATAGTTCGACTCTTTGAGTTTAAATAAGGATCGTCTATAGGCCTAGACTAATTGTTGGCAGATTAAACAGTACCATTGCTTGATTCTGAGGTTGTGACACATTTTTAGATTTGTTCTTTATCAGAGATGAATTTCAGATAAATTGTGTACTGTTCTGTAAATTAACAAGTCTTCATATCAACAAAAACAACAGTTTTATGTGGAACACCTATTCATAAACAAAGTACCATGAGATAAAAAACAATGAATATCCTTTTGACATCATATTGTAATATCATCTAAATCCCCGCCTCTATTGACACTGACAGGGCAGATGATGAGGGGTGATTTGTTGTTGCCACTGTCACTTATTTCTGGATTAAAAAAGGGAAACATGGCCTCACTGAATTCGAACTGTGTAAAAGAATAAATGAGTGACTTGGACTCAACATCATAAAAAGACACTGTCCCATCCTCATAATCTAAAAACACCCCGACAATCTGCAGCCTCTGAGGCAGACACAGCAGCTCTGCCTGTGCTGCACATGCCCGGTACTCATTGCCTTTCCTCAAACAAACAGTCCAGTAGCCTTCCCCTGGGCTTAGGGTCACCACACCTTTCCTGTTGACTGACTGTCGGGCTACACCCAAGTCCCAAGCTGTCTTGTCTCCCACATCCACTTCCCAGTAGTGCCTCCCTGTGGTGAAACCCTGCATAGCAAGATTGTTTCAGGTTACTCACACTGTTAATTTCTCAGGGATAGAAACAGAAAGAAATAATATTCCTGGATTACAGGAATTTACAAAGCATAGTTATTTACCTTGGTGGCAAGGACACATGGTGCTGTGTCAAAACGCTCGGGTACATCTTCCAGGTTCTGTTCAGCATCTCCATCCCAGACCCGTCTCCCATCCTCTGATAGAAGCAGCCAAGGGTTGGCTGTCCTGGGGTCCAGATGAACATCAGCTGGTAGACACACAAGAGTTCATATGGACTTTTAACTAATTTCCTCTCTCTCTTCAAAGATTAAATGAATTAGTTGAGGTATCCTGAAAACCAAAATATACTTGGAAAGTAGTAAGATCACACCATGATCTCAGTGTTACAAAGGCAGGTTATCAGACGTCTTTTACAGCTGACAAATTAAGTCAGTAAAGCCAATCGGAGTTAAAACAATTCACCAATAAAAAAGATGATTGAATGTAAAATTAATTGTAAAGATTGTGATGATCAGCTAACTGCTTTGGTAATGTGTTAGGTAAAAATCAACGATTCCACCGTCTAACATGAGCATTTGCTCCTGTACTCATTTTTATTGTAAACTACAGTAATTATGTATGGACTGTGGACTGTTGGTTGGACAAAAATAGGCAGTTTGAGGATGTCAAACACAGTTGGTTGTGATTTTGTTGAGAAACAGATGTAATAAAGAGAAAACAATGACAAATGCTGAAAGATGTGAGACTGTTGCTAATGACATTGTAGTTCAACTGTACCTGCATACGGCTGAATCTTCTCATGCTCTGTGAGTGTATAAGAACATACAAGCCACAATGAGCCAAACAACATTCATGTATTTAAGCTGCGTACAGTGACATTAAATCAAAGCAGCTGCTGTGTTACAGAATGTAGTGTTGGAATGTAGCATTGAGGAATCTTTTTAGAACATGACCTTCAATGGTAAGTTGTTTCAAAACCAAGCGAAGCTGCTGTTCAATGTTGTTCACCGCTCTCCTTACAGTTCCCAGGCATGTGTCTGCATGGACAATGATGTCAGAGGAGGGTTTGGCAGAAGGAGGAGAACTCAGAGCCGGAAACCTCTGACATAACATAGTTAGATAAGAAAGAAATGGCTTTAGAGCAGAGATGAGACTGGATAAGAAGAAAGGCAATGACAAATGATCCTTCTCTCATTTGACTCTGAATCCTCTCCTGACCTCCAGAAGGTAGAGGTGGTCGTCGGTATGAGAAAGCTGCTCCATCTCACTTCTCTTCTTCTCCAGCTCAGTGATTTCCAGCTCCAGCTCTGAGATGATCCTCTCTGCCCTCTGCTCTGCTGCAGCCTGCTTCCTCTGGATCATTTCCACCAAGTCAGCTTGACTTCTCTCCATGGAACGAACCAGAGCTGAAAAGACCTTCGTGCTTTCTTCAATGTCCCTTTTTGAGTTTTCCTGGACACATTGAAATCTCTGAATTTTTTAAAAAGTCGACTGTTTAAGTCAAGGCAATACTAGCAAAATTTTCTTATCTTAGGGAGTTTCAAT